AATCTCCCTTGGCCTGGGGCTCCATGCAAGATCTCACCTCGTGGAGTTGCAATGATCATGAGAATGGTGAGGAATCAGAAGGTAGAAGGATTACTTTATCCTATCCCAGGTAATCCTTAAAGAGGTGGGGTTTCAAATGTCTCCGGAAGGTGGTGAGTGACTCCGCTGTCCTGGCGTCGTGAGGGAGCTTGTTCCACCATTGGGGTGCCAGAGCAGCGAACAGTTTTGACTGGGCTGAGCGGGAGCTATGCTTCCGCAGAGGAAGGGGAGCCAGCAGGCCAGAGGTGGATGAACGCAATGCCCTCGTTTGGGTGTAGGGACTGATCAGAGCCCGAAGGTACAGAGGTGCCGTTCCCCTCACTGCTCCATAGGCAAGCACCATGGTCTTGTAGCGGATGCGAGCTTCAACTGGAAGCCAGTGGAGTGTGCGGAGGAGGGGGGTGACGTGAGAGAACTTGGGAAGGTTGAACACCAGACGGGCTGCGGCATTCTGGATGAGTTGTAGGGGTTTAATGGCACAGGCAGGGAGGCCAGCCAACAGCGAGTTGCAGTAGTCCAGACGGGAGATGACAAGTGCCTGGATTAGGACCTGTGCCGCTTCCTGTGTAAGGCAGGGTCGTACTCTCCGAATGTTGTAGAGCATGAACCTGCAGGAGCGGGTCACCGCCTTGATGTTGGCGGAGAACGACAGGGTGTTGTCCAGGGTCACGCCTAGGCTCTTCGCACTCTGGGAGGAGGACACAGCGGAGTTGTCAACCGTGATGGCGAGATCATGGAACGGGCAGTCCTTCCCCGGGAGGAAGAGCAGCTCCGTCTTGCCAGGGTTCAGCTTGAGGTGGTGATCCGTCATCCATACTGATATGTCTGCCAGACATGCAGAGATGCGATTCGCCACCTGGTTATCAGAAGGGGGAAAGGAGAAGATTAGTTGTGTATCGTCAGCGTAGCAATGATAGGAGAGGCCATGTGAGGATATGACAGAGCCAAGTGACTTGGTGTATAGGGAGAAATGGAGAGGGCCTAGAACTGAGCCCTGGGGGACACCAGTGGTGAGAGCACGTGGTGCGGAGACAGCTTCTCGCCACGCCACTTGGTAGGAGCGACCGGTCAGGTAGGACGCAATCCAGGAGTGAGCCGCGCCGGAGATGCCCAGCTCGGAGAGGGTGGAGAGGAGGATCTGATGGTTCACAGTATCAAAGGCAGCAGACAGGTCTAGAAGGACAAGAGCAGAGGAGAGAGAGTTAGCTTTAGCAGTGCGGAGAGCCTCCGTGACACAGAGAAGAGCAGTCTCAGTTGAATGACCAGTCCTGAAACCTGACTGGTTTGGATCAAGAAGGTCATTCTGAGAGAGATAGCAAGAGAGTTGGCTAAAGACGGCACGCTCAATAGTTTTGGAAAGAAAAGAAAGAAGGGATACTGGTCTGTAGTTGTTGACATCAGTGGGATCGAGTGTTGGTTTTTTGAGAAGGGGAGCAACTCTCGCTCTCTTGAAGACGGAAGGGACATGGCCAGCGGTCAAGGATGAGTTGATCAGCGAGGTGAGGTAGGGGAGAAGGTCACCGGAGATAGTCTGGAGAAGAGAGGAGGGGATGGGGTCAAGCGGGCAGGTTGTTGGGCGGCCTGCAGTCACAAGTCGCAGGATTTTATCTGGAGAGAGAGGGGAGAAAGAAGTCAAAGCATAGGGTAGGGCAGTGTGAGTAGGACCAGCAGTGTCATTAGACTTAGCAAACGAGGATCGAATGTCGTCAACCTTCAGGACTGAAATCCTGCAGCGCCCGCATGGTCCCCCTGCTCAAGAAAGCACATATACAGGTCCATCTGAAGTTTGCCAATGAACATCTGAATGATTCAGAGGAGAACTGGGTGAAAGTGTTGTGGTCAGATGAGACCAAAATGGAGCTCTTTGGCATCAACTCAACTCGCCGTGTTTGGAGGAGGAGGAATGCTGCCTATGACCCCCAAGAACACCATCCCCACCGTCAAACATGGAGGTGGAAACATTATGCTTTGGGGGTGTATACGGCCAGTATACCACAACTTATGGCTGTATCCAGGCTGTACTCCGCGTTGCGTCGTGCACAACGAACAGCCCTTAACCGTGGTATATTGGCCATATACCACACCCCCTCGTGCCTTATTGCTTAAATATCTCATATAGAACCCAGTATTGTTACTCACCGGCCAGTTTATTAGATGCACCCATTTAGTACCGGGTCGGACCCCCCTCTGCCTCCAGAACAGCCAGAATTCTTCGGGACATTCTACAAGTTGTTGGAAACGTTCCACAGATATGTTTGTCCATCCTCGATGGCGTCACTAAGTTTCTGCAGATTGGAAGGTGCTACATAATAAACACTGCGAACGGCCCGTTCCAAAGATGCTCTATTGGGTTGAGGTCTGGGGACTGCGCATGTTCCAGGCTATGTTTTTCCACTCCTCAGTTGTCCAGTGTTGGTGACCGCTTCTTCTTGTTTTTAGCTGATAGGAGTTGAACCCGATGTGGTCGTCTGCTGCGATAGCCCATCAGTGACAAGGACCGACGAGTTGTGCGTTCCGAGATGTCGTTCTGCACACCACAGTTGGACTGCGCCGTTATTTGCCTGTTTGTGGCTCCGCCTGTTAGTTTGCACGATTCTTGCCATTCTCCTTCGACCTCTCATCAACGAGCTGTTTTCGCCCACAGGACTGTAAACCCTGTCGTGCATGAAAAGCCCAGGAGGGCGGCTGTTTCTGAGGTACTGGATCCGGTGCGCCTGGCACCGACGATCATACCACGCTCAAAGTCGCTTAGGTCACTCGTTTTGCCCATTCTAACGTTCAATTGTACCCATGATTGGACAGTCAAACAATATTGATATATAGAACCAGTGATTGGACAGTCGGACGGTATTGCTATATACAGTGCATTCGGAAAGTATTCAGTCCCCTGCACTTTTTCCACATGTTGTTATGTTACAGCCTTATTCTAAAATTGATTAAATAGTTTTTTTCCCCCTCCTCAATCTACACACAATACCCCATAATGACAAAGCAAAAACAGGTTTTCAGAAATTTTGGCAAATGTATTAAAAAACAAACTAGTATTCAGACCCTTTACTCAGTACTTTGTTGAAGCACCTTTGGCAGCGATTACAGCCTCGAGTGTTCTTGGGTATGACGCTACAAGCTTGGCACACCTGTATTTGGGGAGTTTCTCCCATTCTTCTCTGCAGATCCTCTCAAGCTCTGTCAGATTGGATGGGGAGCGTCGCTGCACAGCTATTTTCAGGTCTCTCCAGAGATGTTAGATTGGGTTCAAGTCCGGGTTTTGGCTGGGCCACTCAAGGACATTGAGAGACTTGTCCCGAAGCCACTCCTGTGTTGTCTTGGCTGTGTGCTTAGGGTCGTTGTCCTGTTGGAAGGTGAACCTTCGCCCCATTCTGAGGTCCTGAGCGCTCTGGAGCAGGTTTTCATCAAGGATCTCTCTGTACTTTGCTCCGTTCATCTTTCCCTTGATCCTGACTAGTCTCCCAGTCCCTGCCGCTGAAAAACAAACCTACAGCATGATCCTCCCACCACCATGCTTCACCGTAGGGATGGTGCCAGGTTTCCTCCAGACGTGACGCTTGGCATTCAGGCCAAAACTTCAATCTTGGTTTCATCAGACCAGAGAATCTTGTTTCTCATTGCCTGAGAGTCCTTTAGGTGCCTTTTGACAAACTCCAAGCGGGCTGTCGTGCCTTTTACTGAGGAGTGGCTTCCGACTGGCCACTCTACCATAAAGGCCTAATTGGTGGAGTGCTTCAGAGATGGTTGTCCTTCTGGAAGGTTCTCCCATCTCCACAGAGGAACTGGAGCTCTGTCAGAGTGACCATCGGGTTCTTGGTCACCTCCCTGACCAAGGCCCTTCTCCCCCGATTGCTCAGTTTTGCCGGGCGGCCAGCTCTAGGAAGAGTCTTGGTGGTTCCAAACTTCTTCCATTTAAGAATGATGGAGGCCACTGTGTTCTTGGGGACCTTCAGTGCTGCAGAAATGTTTTGGTACCCTTCCCTAGATCTGTGCCTCGACACAATCCTGTCTCGGAGCTCTACGTACATTCCCTTCGACCTCATGGCTTGGTTTTTGCTCTGACATGCACTGTCAACTGTGGGACCTTAAATAGACAGGTGTGTGCCTTTCCAAATCATGTCCAATCAGTTGAATTTACAACAGGTGGACTCCAATCAAGTTGTAGAAACATCTCAAGGATGATCAATGGAAACAGGATGCACCTGAGCTCAATTTCGAGTCTCATAGCAAAGGGTCTGAATACTAATGTAAATAAGGTATTTCTGTTTTGGTTTTTTTACACATTTGCTAAAATAAAAATAAAAAAGTTTTCGCTTTGACATGATGTTGTATTGTGTGTAGATTGATGAGGGAAAAAAAAACAATTTAAAACATTTTTGAATAAGGCTGTAACGTAACAATGTGAAAAACGTCAAGGGGTCTGAATACTTCCCGAATGCACTGTATATCTCTGGTACCTATTGTAGTGAATTCCAGGAATAGTCATCGACTGTCAACCCAACACCTTAGCCATTACGCCAAGAGATCCGAACCTTTTGACGAGGTCAGTAGTTACTGGGTTAAGGTCACTACTCGCTACACTACCCCCTTCCTTCAGGAGAGTGTGTCCCTACGCTTGTGATACCGTTTTCCTCTGTTTGGTATGTAGTGAATATGAGCCTGACGTCCTGGTACATGACTATTTCCAGTGTCCCACAAGACCAGAGCTCAGAGAAGCTCATGGAAGTTATTTTTGACACTGCTCCCATTCTGATGTGTGTCTCTCTCTCTCTCTCTCTCTCTCTCTCTCTCTCCTCTCTCTCTCTCTCTCTCTCTATCTCTATCTCTCTCTATCGCTCTCCTATCCTCTCTCTCTCTCTCCTTCCCTCCCCCTGCCCATCTCTCTCCCCCCCAGAGTACAGCATGAGCGTCTGCACGTGAAGCACCGGGGCCATGAGGCCATGCATGCAGAGATGGTGCTCATCCTCATCGCTACACTAGTGGTGGCTCAGATCGTCCTGGTACAGTGGAAGCAGCGCCACAACCGCTCATACAATGTGAGTACAGCAGCCGGCGACTGGCTGGGTGGGCTGGATCCAAAATGGTGGGTTACAGGAGCCAGCCAATGTGTATGACTGATTTTGCCCCATCCAGAAACTACACGGGATAGGTGTATGTGATGAAGACAACAAAACGACACACACAACTGACCTTCTTTCTTTCTTTCTTTCTTTCTTTCTTTCTTCTTTCTTTCGTTCTGGTAGTTTCCTTTCTTGTCTGTTTTCTTTCTTTCTGGCTTTATGTCTTGATGTCGTGTTCTTACTGTCTTGTATTTTTTTTTTTATTCTTTTTTTTTTTTTTTTTTTTCCTTTTTTTTTTCCCCTTTTTTTTCTTTTTTAAACCCCCCCCCCCCCCCTTTTTTTTTTTTTTTTTTTCCTTTTTCTTTTCCCCAAGGAATGTGGGTGGTGCGTCTATTTCACTATAAAAAATGTAGGTGGAGGTTTTTCTCCATTTTGGGGAAAGTTCTGTCATCCCAGCTTTTTGGTCTTCAGAGCTACACGCAAGCCACTCCTTTTATAACCACGGGGCGCTGTGGGGGGGGTGGGGGTGGGGGGGGGGGGGGGGGGTTAACAAGTCCTGTCGAGACCACGGTGTGGGGGGGTGGGGGGGGTTTAAACCCCTGTCCTGTCAGGACCGGTCGTGGGGGGGGGGGGGGGGGGGTTAACCCGTCCTGTCAGAGCCCCGGTAAAGCTGGAGGGGGGGGGGGGGGGGGGGGGGTTAACCACGTCCGTCGAGACCACGGACGCTGGGGGGGTGGGGGGGGGGTAACCCCTGTCCTGTCAGAGACCCGGTACGGGGGGGGGGGTGAGGGGGGGGGGGTTTTAAACCCCGTCTGTCAGAGCCACGGTACGGTGGGGGGGGGGGGGGGGGGGTTAACCACTGTCCTTCAGAGACCACGGTACGCTGGGGGGGGGGGGGGGGGGGTTAACCCCTGTCCCGTCAGAGACCACGGTACGTGGAGGGGGGGTGAGGGGGGGGGTTAACCATTCTCGAGGGGCCCCGGACGTGGGGGGGGGGGGGGGGGGGGGGGGTTAACCATGTCCGTCAGGACCACGGTAGTGGGGGGGGGGGGGGTGGGGGGGGGGGGTTTAACCCGGGCCCGTCAGAGACACGGGAGGGGGGGGTGGGGGGGGGGTAAAAAACGTCGTCAGAGACCACGGTTCGTGGGGGGGGGTGGGGGGGGTTAAACCATGTTGTCAGAGACCACGGGACGCTGGGGGGGGGTGGGGGGGGGGGGAACCCTGTCCGAGAGACCCCGGTAGCTGGGGGGGGGGGGGTTTGGGGGGGGGGGGGGGTTTAACCCCTGTCCGTCAAGACCACGGTACGGGGGGGGGGGGTGGGGGTGGGGGGGGGTTTAAACCCCTGTCCGTAGAGACCACGGGACGTGGGGGGGGGTGGGGGGGGGGGGGGGGGTTAAACCCCGTCCTGTCAGAGAACCACGGTACGCTGTGGGGGGGTGGGGGGGGGTTAACCACTGTCCTGTCAGAGACACCCGGTACGTGGGGGGGTGGGGGGGGGTTAAACCACTGTCCTGTCAGAGACCACGGTACGCGGGGGGGGTGGGGGGGGGTTAACCCACTGTCTGTCAGAGACCCGGTACGTGTGGGGGGTGGGGGGGGGTTAACCACTGTCCTGTCAGAGACACACGGTACGCTGTGTGGGGGTGGGGGGGGGGGGGGTGGGTTAACACTGTCCTGTCAGAGACCACGGTACGTGGGGGGGGTGGGGGGGGGGTTAACCACTCTCCTGTCGTACACCACGGTACGATGTGGGGGGGTGGGGGTGGGTTAACCACTGTCCTGTCAGAGACCACGGTACTCTGTGGGGGGTGGGGGGGGGTGTTAACCACTGTCCTGTCAGAGACCACGGTACGATGTGTGGGGGTGGGGGGTGGGGGGGGGGGTTAACCACTGTCCTGTCAGAGACCACGGTACGCTGGGGGGGTGGTGGGGGGGGGTTAACCACTCTCCTGTCGTACACCACGGTACGCTGTGGGGGGGTGGGGGTGGGTTAACCACTGTCCTGTCAGAGACCACGGTACGCTGGGGGGGTGGGGGGGGGGTTAACCATGTCCTGTCAGAGACCACGGTTACGCTGGGGGGGTGGGGGGGGGGGTTAACCACTGTCCTGTCAGAGACCACGGTACGTGTGGGGGGGTGGGGGGGGTTTTAACCACTGTCCTGTCAGAGACCACGGTACGCTGTGTGGGGGTGGGGGGGGGTTAACCACTGTCCTGTCAGAGACCACGGTACGCTGGGGGGGGGGGGGGGGGGTTAACCACTTCCTGTCGTACACACGGTACGCTGTGGGGGGGTGGGGGTGGGTTAACCACTGTCTGTCAGAGACCACGGTACTCTGTGGGGGGGGGGGGGGGGGGGTAACCACTGTCCTGTCAGAGACCACGGTACGCTGTGTGGGGGTGGGGGGGGGGGTTAACCACTGTCCTGTCAGAGACCACGGTACGCTGGGGGGGTGGGGGGGGGGGTTAACCACTCTCCTGTCGTACACCACGGTACGCTGTGGGGGGGGTGGGGGTGGGTTAACCATGTCCTGTCAGAGGACCACGGTACTCTGTGGGGGGGTGGGGGGGGTTAACCACTGTCCTGTCAGAGACCACGGTACGCTGGGGGGGGGGGGGGTGGGGGGGGGGGGGGTTAACCAACTGTCCTGTCAGAGACACACGGTACGCTGGGGGGGGGTGGGGGTGGGGGGGGGTTAACCACTGTCCTGTCAGGTAGAGACCACGGTACGCTGGGGGGGTGGGGGTGGGGGGGGGGGGGGTTAACCATTGTCTGTCAGAGACCACGGTACGCTGTGGGGGGGGGTGGGGGGGGGGTTAACCACTGTCCTGTCAGAGACCACGGTACGCTGGGGGTGGTGGGGGGGGGGTAACATGTCCTGTCAGAGACACGGTACGCTGGGGGGGTGGGGGGGGGTTAACCTTCTGTCAGAGACCACGGTACGCTGGGGGGGTGGGGGTGGGGGGGGGTTGGTTAACCATGTCCTGTCAGAGACCACGGTACGCTGTGGGGGGGTGGGGGTGGGGGGGGGGGGGGGTTAACCATTGTCCTGTCAGAGACCACGGTACGCTGTGGGGGGGTGGGGGTGGGGGGGGGGGGTTGGTTAACCATTGTCCTGTAGAGACACACGGTACGCGGGGGGTGGGGGGGGGTTAACCACTGTCCTGTCAGAGACCACGGTACGCTGGGGGGGGGGGTTAACCACTGTCCTGTCAGAGACCACGGTACGCTGGGGGGGTGGGGGTGGGGGGGGGTTAACAATGTCTGTCAGAGACCACGGTACGCTGTGGGGGGGTGGGGGTGGGGGGGGGTTAACCACTGTCCTGTCAGAGACACGGTACGGGGGGGGGGGGGGGGGGTTGGGGTTAACCATTGTCCTGTCAGAGACCACGGTAGCTGGGGGGGGGTGGGGGTGGGGGGGGGTTAACCACTGTCCTGTCAGAGACCACGGTACGCTGGAGGGGGGGGGTGGGGGTTAACCACTGTCTGTCAGAGACCACGGTACGCTGTGGGGGGGTGGGGGGTGGGGGGTTAACCACTGTCCTGTCAGAGACCACGGTACGCTGTGGGGGGGTGGTGGGGGGGGGTTTAACCACTGTCCTGTCAGAGACCACGGTACGCTGGAGGGGGGGGGGGGGGGTTAACCACTGTCTCGTCAGAGACCACGGTACGCTGGGGGGGGGGGGGGGTGGGGGGGGGTTAACCACTGTCCTGTCAGAGACCACGGTACGCTGGGGGGGGGGGGTTAACACTGTCCTGTCAGAGACCACGGTACGCTGTGGGGGGGGGTTAACCACTGTCCTGTCAGAGACCACGTTACGCTGTGGGGGGGGGGTTAACCACTGTCCTGTCAGAGACCACGGTACGCTGTGGGGGGGGGGGGTTAACCAATGTCCTGTCAGAGACCACGGTACGCTGGGGGGGGGGGGGGGGGGGGTTAACACTGTCCTGTCAGAGACCACGGTACCGTGGGGGGGGGGTGGGGGTGGGGGGGGTGGGGGGGGTTAACCACTGTCCTGTCAGAGACCACGGTACGCTGGAGGGGGGGGGTGGGGGTGGGGGGGGGTTTAACCACTGTCCTGTCAGAGACACCGGTACGCTGGGGGGGTGGGGGGGGGTTAACCACTGTCCTGTCAGAGACACGGTACGCTGTGGGGGGGGTGGGGGTGGGGGGGGGGGTTAACCACTGTCCTGTCAGAGACCACGGTACGCTGGGGGGGTGGGGGTGGGGGGGGGGGTTAACCACTGTCCTGTTCAGAGACCACGGTTACGCTGGGGGGGTGGGGGTGGGGGGGGGTTAACCACTGTCCTGTCAGAGACCACGGTACGCTGGAGGGGGGGGGGGGGGGGGGATTAACCAGGTCCTGTCAGAGACCACGGTACGCGTGGAGGGGGGGGGTGGGGGTGGGGGGGGTTAACCACTGTCCTGTCAGAGACCACGGTAAGCTGGAGGGGGGGGTGAGGGGTCATTAACTGTGTGTGTGTGTGTTTCAGGATGGTGTATAAATGGTTTCTGTTGATCTATAAGCTGAGCTATGCAGTGGGAGTGATTGGATACCTGGCCATCATGTTCACAATGTTCGGCTTTAACGTCTTCTTCAGGTGAGTGTCAGAACGGCACACTAGCGATTAGAGCTATTTGAGGTCAGTTCGGTTTCGGTTGGATTATCAACAAATAATCATGGATTTCTTTTGAACATTAAATGCACGATTCATTATGTGGGTTGAAAGCTGTAACACAGTCTAAAACAATAAAAGTCCCATGGTGGTAGTGAATTACTGCTTATCACTTATTAACCATCAGTTATTCACATTACTTTACTTCAATACATCAGTTGGTGTATCTGATAACTTCATCATCTCATCTCTACAGAGCTGCTGTCTGACTAAATCACTATTTTAGTAGTTTCTTCAAAGTAAATAAGGCAGGCTTTTATGACTGCTGAATACCAACTATCAATCACTTAGATCATGTGTTTTCTGGTAGAGACACCTCGCCAAGCAACAGCTGTTCTCTGAATCACCTGACGATCCTGCGTTCTTCTCTCTTCTGTAGCAGGCGTGAAAGAAACACAGACCGAACAAGTAGATGCGCAATGAATTATGGTTATTGTAGTTAATGACCACGTTTTATGTGCTTAACTGTGTAGAATATTGGCCTGTTGGAAACTACAAGTCCCTACTACATGGCACAGTTCAGGCTGGATGTGAGCTCACAGAAAAAAAACTAATGAAATGGAATTCTAATAATTGAACCTGATGTTGGTCAATATTTTTTTTTTTTTTAATTTTACATAAAAAATAACCAACATTTCGGTTAATCGCTCAGCACTAACCACACACACACACACACACACACACACACACACACACACACTTTAAATAAACTTGCTTTGGCGTGCGTCTGAAATGGTACCTGACCCACCCTATTCCCTAAATAGTGACCAGAGCTCTATGGGTGCCATTTTGGAACAAAACCTATTTATGTTTGTGTTGTGATGTAGGATCAAGGCTGAGGACTCTATGGATGTGTTGTGATGTTGGATCAAGGCTGAGGACTCTATGGATGTGTTGTGTGTTGGATCAAGGCTGAGGACTCTATGGATGTGTGTTGTGATGTAGGATCAAGGCTGAGGACTCTATGGATGTGTTGTGATGTAGGATCAAGGCTGAGGACTCTATGGATGTGTTGTGATGTAGGATCAAGGCTGAGGACTCTATGGATGTGTTGTGATGTAGGATCAAGGCTGAGGACTCTATGGATGTGTTGTGATGTAGGATCAAGGGCTGAGGGACTCTATGGATGTGTTGTGATGTAGGATCAAGGCTGAGGACTCTATGGATGTGTTGTGATGTAGGATCAAGGCTGAGGACTCTATGGATGTGTTGTGATGTAGGATCAAGGCTGAGGACTCTATGGATGTGTTGTGATGTTGGATCAAGGACTGAGGACTCTATGGATGTGTTGTGATGTAGGATCAAGGCTGAGGACTCTATGGATGTGTTTGTGATGTAGGATCAAGGCTGAGGACTCTATGGAGGTGTTGTGATGTAGGATCAAGGGTGAGGACTCTATGGATGTGTTGTGATGTAGGATCAAGGCTGAGGACTCTATGGATGTGTTGTGATGTAGGATCAAGGCTGAGGACTCTATGGATGTGTTGTGATGTAGGATCAAGGCTGAGGACTCTATGGATGTGTTGTGATGTAGGATCAAGGCTGAGGACTCTATGGAGGGTGTTGTGATGTAGGATCAAGGTGAGGACTCTATGGAGTGTTGTGATGTAGGATCAAGGCTGAGGACTCTATGGAGTGTTGTGATGTAGGATCAAGGTGAGGACTCTATGGATGTGTTGTGATGTAGGATCAAGGCTGAGGACTCTATGGATGTGTTGTGATGTAGGATCAAGGCTGATGACTCTATGGATGTGTTGTGATGTAGGATCAAGGCTGAGGACTCTATGGATGTGGGTGTTATCATGCTGTTCTATGGTCTTTACTATGGAGTGATGGGACGGGACTTTGCTGAGATCTGCTCCGACTACATGGCCTCAACTATAGGGGTGAGTACTATACACATACAGTACTATACACATACAGTACTATACACATACAGTACTATACAATACAGTACTATACACATCCCAGTACTATACACATACAGTACTATACACATACAGTATTATACACATACAGTACTATACACATACAGTACTATACACATACAGTACTATACACATACAGCACTATACACATACAGCACTATACACATACAGTACTATACACATACAGTACTATACACATACAGCACTTATACACATACAGCACTATAACTTTACAGTACTATACACATACAGTACTATACACATACAGCACTATACACATACAGCACTATACACATACAGTACTATACACATACAGTACTATACACATACAGTACTATACACATACAGTACTATACACATACAGTACTATACACATACAGCCTACAACAGCATATACACATTACAGTACTATACACATACAGTACTATACACATACAGTACTATAACATACAGCATAACACATACAGCACTATACACCTACAGTACTATACACATACAGTAACTTTTACAATACATACTATTACACTACAGTACTTACACATAAGCACTAACACTCAGTATATACACATACAGTAATTACACATACAGTACTATAACATGCAGTATATAACATACAGTATATGTTGCTGTTGTGTACTACTATTAGTTGGGTGGGCAAACTTTTGGCCCCGGGACCAATGGGGTTTTTAAAATCAACGGAGAAAGCAGTTATTTGAAAATTTTAAATAGATTAATTTCTACTACGTTACTATCTGGGTTTAGGCGTTCAAGAGTGGCCTGGAGTGTTTAAAAAAAAAAATATATATATATATATGTTTTACTCAAACGTCCTGCGGGCCGTAGTTTACCCACTAATTATATATTATGTTGTTGTTGTTGCAGTACTATAACATGTTGTTGTTGTTGTTGTTGTTTCAGTTCTATAACATGTTGTTGTTGTTGTTGTGCAGTACTATAACATGTGTTGTTGTTGTTGTTGCAGTACTGTAATGTTGTGTTGTTGTTGTTGCAGTACTATAACATGTTGTTGTTGTTGCAGTACTGTAACATGTTGTTGTTGTTGTTGTTGCAGTACTGTAACATGTTGTTGTTGTTGTTTCAGTTCTATAACATGTTGTTGTTGTTGTTGTTGCAGTACTATAACATGTTGTTGTGTTGTTGCAAGTACTGTAACATGTTGTTGTTGTGCAGTACTGTAACATGTTGTTGTTGTTGCAGAGTACTGTAACATGTTGTTGTTGTTGTTGTTTTTCAGTTCATAACATGTTGTGTTGTTTCAGACTATAACATGTTGTTGTGTGTTTCAGTTCTATAACATGTTTGTTGTTGTTTCAGTTCTATAACATGTGGTTGTGTTGTTGTTCAGTTCTATCACCATGTTGTTTGTTGTTGTGTTGGTTCAGTTCTATAACATGTTGTTGTTGTTGTTGTTGTTTCAGTTCTATAACATGTTGTTGTTGTTTCAGTACTATAACATGTGTTGTTGTTGTTGTTTCAGTACTATAACATGTTGTTGTTGTTGTTGTTTCAGTTCTATAACATGTTGTTGTTGTTTCAGTACTATAACATGTTGTTGTTGTTGTTGTTGCAGTACTGTAACATGTTGTTGTTGTTGTTTCAGTTCTATAACATGTTGTTGTTGTTGTTGCAGTACTATAACATGTGTTGTTGTTGTTGCAGTACTGTAACATGTTGTTGTTGTTGCAGTACTGTAACATGTTGTTGTTGTTGTTGTTTCAGTTCTATAACATGTTGTTGTTGTTTCAGTACTATAACATGTTGTTGTTGTTGTTGTTTCAGTTCTATAACATGTTGTTGTTGTTGTTTCAGTTCTATAACATGTTGTTGTTGTTGTTGTTTCAGTTCTATAACATGTTGTTGTTTGTTTCAGTTCTATAACATGTTGTTGTTGTTGTTGTTGTTTCAGTTCTATAACATGTTGTGTGTTGTTGTTGTTTCAGTTCTATAACATGTTGTTGTTGTTGTTGTTTCAGTACTATAACATGTTGTTGTTGTTGTTGTTTCAGTTCTATAACATGTTGTTGTTGTTTCAGTACTATAACATGTTGTTGTTGTTGTGTTGTTTCAGTTCTATAACATTTTTGTTGTTGTTGTTTCAGTTCTATAACATGTTGTTGTTGTTGTTGTTTCAGTTCTATAACATGTTTGTTTTGTTGTTGTTTCAGTTCTATAACATGTTGTTTTTTGTTTTTTCAGTACTGTAACATGATGTTGTTGTTGCAGTACTTTTAACATGTTGTTTTTGTTTCAGTTCTAAAAAACATGTTGTTTTTTTTGCAGTACTGAACATGTGGTTGGGGTTTGTTGTTTCAGTTCTATACATGTTGTTTTTGTTGCAGTACTGTAACATTTTGTGTTGTTTCAGTTCTTAAATGTTGTTGTTGTTTCAGTACTATAACATGTTGTTGTTGTTGTTTTTTCAGACTATAACATTGTTGTTGTTGTTGTTTTCAGTTCTATAACATTTTTGTTTTTGTTTCAGTACTATAACATGTTGTTGTTGTTGTTGTTTCAGTTTCTATACATGTTGTTTTTGTTTTTTCAGTTCTATAACATGTTGTTGTGTTGTTTTTTCAGTTCTATAACATGTTGTTTTTGGGTTGTTGTTTCAGTTCAAACATGTTGTTGTTGTTGTTGTTGTTTCAGTTCTATAAATGTTGTTGTTGTTGTTGTTTCAGTACTAAACATGTTGTTGTTTTTGTTGCATTTTCTATAACATGTTGTTGTTGTTGTTTTTGGGCAGTCTAAACATGTTGTTTTTTGTTGTGCAGTACGTAACATGTTTTTGTTGTTGCAGTTCTATAACTGTTGTTGTTGTTGTTGTTGCATTTCTATAACATGTTGTTGTGTTTCAGTTCTATAACATGTTTTTGGTGTTTTTGTTTCAGTTCTATAACATGTGTTGTTGTTTCAGTTCTAAAACATGTTGTTGTTGTTTCCAGTTCGATAAACATGTTGTTGTTGTTGTGTTTCAGTTCTATAACATGTTGTTGTTGTTGTTGTTTCAGTTCTATAACATGTTGTTGTTGTTGTTGTTTCAGTTCTATAACATGTGTTGTTGTTGTTGTTTCAGTTCTATAACATGTTGTTGTTGTTGTTGTTTCAGTTCTATAACATGTTGTTGTTGTTTCAGTACTATAACATGTTGTTGTTGTTGTTGTTGTTGTTTCAGTTCTATAACATGTTGTTGTTGTTGTTGTTTCAGTTCTATAACATGTTGTTGTTGCAGTACTGTAACATGTTGTTGTTGTTGTTGCAGTACTATAACATGTTGTTGTTGTTGTTGTTTCAGTTCTATAACATGTTGTTGTTGTTGCAGTACTGTAACATGTTGTTGTTGTTGTTGTTGCAGTACTGTAACATGGGAGGAATGCCCTCAAGGAGCCTGACAGATGATATCTGTGCGGTGTGCGGCCAGAAGATCCTGGTAGACGTGGATGAGGAGGGGATTCTAGAAGATACCTTCCAGCTCTCCTGTAACCACATGTATCCTATCCTCACGGCTTGGCCGGTATAACATGCAGACCATTTACTGGGCTATTATATTATATTATATTATTATTATATTTGGAAAAAGCCACGGGATGGTTTTTCAATACTGTCAATACCGTTGAAACTCATTCTTTTGAAGATTTTTAACAAATGTAATATTTGTAGCTACTTTTTGCAGTCGACTTGTGCAATATGTTAGGAGATAAAGCAGATTGGCGTTCTTCATTTCACCCGTAACATTATTTTACATTATGAAGCTTACAGTAGATCCCCAGAACAGTTGAGCCAGTCACTTGTTTGTTTGTAAATAGCACAACGGGAGCTGGTGAGTCCATAGCGTTCTATATCAATTGGTGAGTCTCTGTTGTGCAGTCCACATGAGGTGATGAAGTTACACTTGTATGTAATTTACCACTAAATGTTTGCCATCAGATATCTTATAACGGCTTTCTGCCAGAAGTCAAAGAGCTCTGGATGAGTTATCTGTACAGCGGCCATTTTGTCCCCGTGCTTCCTGCTGGCGTTTTGTTTCTCCTCTGTTCTTCTCCCCTCTGCTCCGTGATCACATGCTGCTCTTCCTTCAGAAAAGCATGCATCACAACTTTGTTCATTTGCACAATTTCTCTCATTCACGTTCACAGCGAAAATGACATTCGGTAGCTGCTAGCTATGCTTGTATAACTTTATGGGCTGGATTTGCCCTGTATTTGCTATTTAGTTTATGTTCGCTTTCGCTCGTTAGCATTTAGCTAATAGCGTCTATGTGATTTCGCTATTAGTCTGTGCTAATTGTGTTAGCATTCTGGTAATTTGCGTTTCTAGCGCCCCCCTGTGTGCTATGCCGGTAATACCGTGGATACCGCCCAAGCCTACTATCCTCACTGCACTGTGTGAGTTATAGAAGATATCTACCAGCTCTCCTATCCTGTATGTGTGCACTTGTTAATGCAATCTGGCACTCTCTATACTCCTCTCGCTCTCTCTTCTCTATACCCCCCCCCCCCCTCTCTCTCGCTTCTTCTCTCTTATCTCTGTTCTCGCTCAATCCCTACTATACTCCCTCTCTCTCTTTCCACTCTTCTTTCTCTACTTCTCTCTCTCCTATCCCTCCCCTCTCGCCCTCTCTCTCTCTCTCTCTCTCTCTCTCTAAATGGCACTGTATTCCCTATATAGTGCACTACTGGAGAGGAGGCGAGCGGAAGTGAGATTTTGGGAGCGAGAGAGAGGACTGAGAGGAGAGAGAGGGAGAGAGAGGGAGGGGAGAGAGAGAGGAGAGGAGAGTGATTAGCAGCAAGACTAAATATAACCCACAATCACTAATGTAGCTATCCGGTATACAACTGAGCAGTATTGGGGTCAATTCAGAAAGTAAACCAAATTCTCATGAAAGACAATTGGAATGTCAGTTTACTTCCTGAATTTACTCTAGGTTGAAGATGACAAAGGTTAAGACAACATAATAATTCCATGCAAAAGCGTTTGAAAGTAAACAAATGCATTGGACCAGCGCCGGAGCGAAAATGACTGGAAGTGAATGTTAGCAGTACAGAAAGTTTGCCATGAAAGTGGAAAAGAAACACAAATCGTAGAGATTTTTTGTTAACTTCTCAGAAAACTCATATCGTAAGTGTTTTACGGTCATTTTAAATGTTTTTCTAGTTATCTACAACCACTTTAATAATAATAATAATAATATGCCATTTAGCAGACGCTTTTATCCAAAGCGACTTACAGTCATGCGTGCATACATTTTTGTGTATGGGTGGTCCCGGGGATCGAACCCACTACCTTAATGTGTTCCCGACCGCTGGCCACGTTTTCAATACTAATCCTGTAGAATCAGCCACTGCGCTGGTCCAATTAATGTGTTTATTTTCAGCCGCATGGAATTATTATTGTTGTCTTAACTTGTATTTTTCTACCTGGAATTTACTGGAATTGATCCCAACCCTGCAACTGAGGATGCTCAGCGAGTGTTAGCATGGCGGCTAACTGTCCCATGATTTCCCATGGGAAATGCTAATTATTTAACGTTGGCTCTGGTTGTTGTTGCGGTACTATAACTTGGGTTGTTGTGGATTCTTTAACGCTGGCTCCGCCTTCAGATTCCATGAGTTCTGTATCCGTGGCTGGTGCATTGTGGGTAAGAAGCAGACGTGTCCGTACTGCAACGAGAAGGTCGACTTGAAGAGGATGATGAACAATCCGTATCCTTTCATTGGCCGAGGCGAGAGCCACGGAACACAGGGATTGGCTGAATCTGAGAGCACATCTTACACACACTTATTCTTATTGGCCTTTGAAATTGTTGCATGTTGCTATTTTTATATTTTTGTTCAGTGTAATTGTAAAGAAACACTGTAGAACATGGTTAAAAGTATAATTTTGATCTCATGGATGGTCAGTGTTTGTTTACAATAATTGTATATTATAGTTTTAACCATGTTTTGAGGCTATACAGTGTTTCTTTACAATCATACATTGTTTACAAACAATGGAGTACAACAGGCTTACAGTATATGTGGGGTTCTGACGGGGTACAACAGTTGAACTAACGTTTTTTATATTTTTCAAGAATCAATGGGTATGTATCATTCACTTATAAGCAGGGCTCTAAATTAAACTTTTTCCATTGGTAGCACTGGTGCTCCTATCTTCAAAAAGTAAGGAGCACCAGACAAAATGTTGTAGCACCAAATAAGAAATGAGTGTCCTATCATTCTTAATTGTCATCAGTTGTTACCTTGACGATGTAGAACATCAACAAGACACACCAATCTGTCAGAACCTGTTTCCCCCCCCCCCACCACTCAATCACAACAAACAAACCTCCTGCAAGGTTGAGTTCAATAACTACAGGCAGATAGATGTATTGGTGAGATGCCGGAGGATGCTTTGCGTAGGTCAGTAGCCTACAGAGTAATATGAGAAGAATGCAATTGCTGAATTTATGTAGATATTCTAAACTAAGTGTTTTGATAACTCACATAGGGCTTCTCCCCCCATACCATTCAATTCAATAATAAAAATACAATACAAGTGAAAGTTGTCTCTCTCCATTCAGAGCCTGGCTTTATCAAAAGATAGCTACCTACACAACCAGCAGTAACGTTATTTATGCCAGAGAGGTCATTGTATTCCAGTATCTATGGTTATGTTCGCCACCACTGGCCGTTGCACACCAAGCTAGCATTACTGGCGCAGACTTGGGGACCGACGAACTCCAAGCACCTATTCCACATACTAGCTAGCTAGGGTCTTTCCACGGGGCAGCGAAACCATAGAACGTTTGGCTGTGGAGGCATGGTCAATCCGTATAGGGCCCGTGATCCTTTGGCTGTGGAGGCATGGTCAATCCGTATAGGGCCCATGATCCTTTGGCTGTGGCGGCATGGTCAATCCGTATAGGGCCCGTGATCCTTTGGCTGTGGAGGCATGGTCAATCCGTATAGGGCCCGTGATCCTTTGGCTGTGGAGGCATGGTCAATCCGTATAGGGCCCGTGATCCTTTGGCTGTGGAGGCATGGTCAATCCGTATAGGGCCCGTGATCCTTTGGCTGTGGAGGCATGGTCAATCCGTATAGGGCCCGTGATCCTTTGGCTGTGGAGGCATGGTCAATCCGTATAGGGCCCGTGATCCTTTGGCTGTGGAGGCATGGTCAATCCGTATAGGGCCCATGATCCTTTGGCTGTGGCAGCATGGTCAATCCGTATAGGGCCCATGATCCTTTGGCTGTGGAGGCATGGTCAATCCGTATAGGGCCCGTGATCCTTTGGCTGTGGAGGCATGGTCAATCCGTATAGGGCCCGTGATCCTTTGGCTGTGGAGGCATGGTCAATCCGTATAGGGCCCGTGATCCTTTGGCTGTGGAGGCATGGTCAATCCGTATAGGGCCCGTGATCCTTTGGCTGTGGAGGCATGGTCAATCCGTATAGGGCCCGTGATCCTTTGGCTGTGGAGGCATGGTCAATCCGTATAGGGCCCGTGATCCTTTGGCTGTGGAGGCATGGTCAATCCGTATAGGGCCCGTGATCCTTTGGCTGTGGAGGCATGGTCAATCCGTATAGGGCCCGTGATCCTTTGGCTGTGGAGGCATGGTCAATCCGTATAGGGCCCGTGATCCTTTGGCTGTGGAGGGCATGGTCAATCCGTATAGGGCCCGTGATCCTTTGGCTGTGGAGGCATGGTCAATCCGTATAGGGCCCGTGATCCTTTGGCTGTGGAGGCAATGGTCAATCCGTATAGGGCCCGTGATCCTTTGGCTGTGGAGGCATGGTCAATCCGTATAGGGCCCGTGATCCTTTGGCTGTGGAGGCATGGTCAATCCGTATAGGGCCCGTGATCCTTTGGCTGTGGAGGCATGGTCAATCCGTATAGGGCCCATGATCCTTTGGACGCGTTGGGGGGCGATGAAACAATGGAGCCCCATTCAATGAAGGGAAGTGGAGGGACAATTTGCATGTGGAGCTTGTCAAAAGGGGGTATGACTTGTTGACATAACTGTAATCCAAAGCCAACCTTCCATTTACTCGTTGTGACGCACTGAGGTTCCAAACTCAGTTTTAGACGAGACTGACTTTATGACAAAAATTATCCTATTATAAACACTAGACACTCAAATAAATGTTTCTGACTCATATCGATGCCACGTAGGATTAGCTGCTTTTTAGGGGCAGTTGCTCTTTAAGTGATGTTTTTGCAAAGATTGGTGTTTTAGGTTGCTGGACCCAGTGGTGTTTTAGGTTGCTGGACCCAGTGATGTTTTAGGTTGCTAGACCCAGTGGTTATCCCACTGGCTATAGGGTGAATGCACCAATTTGTAAGTCGCTCTGGATAAGAGCGTCTGCTAAATGACGTAAATGTAAATGTAATGTAAATGTAAGAGTGTTGAGGCGAAATATTGTTACGCTTTGAGTTTTTTTTATATTGGATCATTTTTTTAGTCGCACGGTGCTCCCAAAATAAATTTACTAGACACACAGCAACCCTTTCAGTCGCACGTGCGACCAGTGCCCTGTTTATAAGTTGTATTCTTCAAGAATCGATCACTATATATAATTAATAAAAACATTCCACAAATGGATGTACCAATCGCTCCTTAACGCCTACCCCCCCAGCTGGGAGAGAACACACATCCTGTACGGGCAGCTCTTGGATTGGCTGAGATACCTTGTTGCCTGGCAACCCATCATCATCGGAATAGTCCACGGAATCAACTTCTCTCTGGGGCTGGACTAGTAGAAGAGTACAACTCTGGGATGATCGCCTTGCAGAACTCCCTCCCCGGGAATTCCCTCTCCGAACTTTTGGAATCCATGCATGCATTTAATTTATTGGACCCAAGTGTTTTATTTATTATCTGTAAATTCTGTACTTTATACAATGTCTGCATCCCAAATGGCACCCTATTCCCTGTGCTCTTTTTGGTCAAAGGATTTTGTACGATTTCAGTTTGTTCTACAGTTTGCACTCTGCAGATAATCTCCCCTCTCTGTCCCAATACCCAAACTGATTACTTCTCTCTCTCCCTCTCTCTCTCTCTGTCCCAATACCCAAACTGATGCACTAGGTAGTGTGCGTGCAAAGTGTTGGCCATGCATACTAAGTAGTGTGCGTATTGGGACACTTGGCCATATCACACCGGTAGTCCAGTCACCATCACAAAAAAAAGCTGCTTTTTGTCTTTTAAAACCTGTTTGATTGAACCTTTAAGTGTATCCCAAAATAGCACCCTATTCCCTATGTAGTGCACTACTTTCACCCTATTCCATATGTAGTGCAGTACTTTTGACCAGAGCCCTGTGGCAGGCAACAGGGTGCCATTTTGAGATGCAGACGTATTAATCCTGGGAAGTCACGTCAAGGTTCAGCATATCTTGTTGAAGATACCTCAGGGTTCACGTTCACTCAGAGTAGGAGTTCTGATCTAGGATCAGAAAAGCCTTTAATGAATCATATTACATGGGGGGACGGGGGGACGGGGACCTGGTCCTAGATCAGCCTTTAATGAATCATATTACATGGGGGGACGGGGGGACGGGGACCTGGTCCTAGATCAGCCTTTAATGAATCATATTACATGGGGGGGGGGAAGGGGGGGACGGGGACCTAGTCCTAGATCAGCACTACTTTGTGAAAATGGGCCCAGGGTCAAAACGTAAGAGTTTTACAAAGTCTGATTTCAAGGATATTATTTTATGCATTTAAGGGGAATAGTATAGGACGTGATGACCACACCTACACAAATATGCATCCCAATTGTCACCCTATTCCCTGTATAGTGCACTACTATATGTGGGAATAGGGTGCCAGATGGGAAGGACCGTTCTACAACGCAAAAACAAAAAAGGTGCCTCTGTGTTGACGTGTTGCACGTATCACAATACACATTGTGTCCAAAACGACACCCTATTCACTATATAGGGCACTACTTTATTCATTAAATATATATATAGTGTACCACTTTTTGAAGTGGTCAAACCCGAAATGTCACTATTGGCACCCCATCAAATAATAATAATAATAATATGCCATTTAGCAGACGCTTTTATCCAAAGCGACTTACAGTCATGCATGCATACATTTTTTTTTTTTGTGTGTATGGGTGGTCCCGGGGATCGAACCCACTACCTTGGCGTTACAAGCGCCGTGCTCTACCAGCTGAGCTACAGAGGACCACCATCAACTACATAGTGCACCTGGTCAAAGTAGTGCACTGTGAATAGGGTGCCAGAACAGGGAGCGGGGCCTGTGTCCCCTATCAACAGGGCCATAGGGACATATTTGAGAGACATTCTGCTACACCGTTGGAGCTAGTAACATCCAGCATTTCGCTGCACCTGCAGCTCCAAATCTGTGTGAGCAACCAATAAACGTTTGATTGATTTGAAAAGTAGTGCGCTGTATATAGGGAATAGGGTGCCGTTACAGGACGCAGTCAGAGTCTTCAACAGCCCGTGTCCCCCAGAGGAGTTCTGTAGTGTAGGTACAGGAGTTTTTTCCTGATCCCTCTGTAACCTGCAGGATAAACTCCAGGCTATAGAAATATAATCTATAGAACGGACCTCCCAATTCAAGTCAATGATGGCATAATGGGTGTAGAGCAGGGTTCTTCAATTCCGGTCCTGGAGGGCCGAAACACTTCTGTTTTTTTATTTCTACCTGGTAGTTAATTGCACTCACCTGGTGTCCCAGGTCTGAATTA